AGGCGAGCCTCCACCCTCCAGGAAGCTTCAGAGCCCGTGTGCACATGGGGCCCCTCACTGGTCTCTCGCTAGGGCCCTCAGGGAGCAGCCCGGAACTCTCCCGGCTCCTGAGGGCTGGTCGAGGCCCTTCCTCTGGGCCGGGCCCTGTCTCAGGCAGGGGCCTCTACACAGGGGTCCTGTCTGCCCTTGCCCACCTGCCTTGCCGGGGGAGCCCAGGCAGCTTCTGTGGATGCTGGGATGGGCAAGTCCCCATCTTGGCCCCTGGGAGCCCATGAGGAGACCCCCTGTGTCAGGGCACTCAGAATGTCCTCCAGCTGGCTCGATGGGAGGGGGTGGCTCAGAGCTCCCGGCAGGAGAGCCTTGGGCCAGGCCCTGCTGGGGAGCTGCCATGCTCTCTCATGGGGAAACCTGGTACGCTGAGGCCATGTGACTCCTGGACAGGCCGGCGCCCAGCACGTCTGTGTCCTTCCAGATTCTGCAGTAGTCCTAGAGGAGGGAGGTCCAGGCGAGGCCGGTTTGTCAGCAGAGCCTCCCGAGTTGGAAGATTTTGAGGCGACACTGGGCTCCGATGAGCGCTGCAGGCGCAGCGACGCTTTCAGCAGGGTGAGCCTTTCAGTTGGGGGAGCCGCCTGAGGGGCCTGTCACCCCTGCTGGGGGCACCGCGGGGCTGAGCATGGGAAAGTGCTTTCGGGGAAGGGGAACCACCAGCTTGGTGCTGGCTGCTCCGAGGCCCTGCCTGGGGATGGGTGGGGCTTTATTCCAACAGGTAAACCTGGGTGGGCTCCACAGTGCCTCCTGGTGACCGTTCCGTTTGGATCCATTCTTCCTAGTCATCTTCCACCTCCAGCCAGGAGGAGAAGTCATTCCATGCTGAGGAATTGCCTCCTGGCGGCATCCCCATCGAGCGGGCAGTCTCCTCGGAGGGCTCCCGGGCCTCTGTGGACCTCGCCTTCCAGCCCTCGCAGCCCCTGAGCAAGTCCAGCTCGTCGCCTGAACTGCAGACCCTGCAGGACATCCTGGGGGACCCCGGGGACAAGGCTGAGGTCGGCCGGCTGAGTCCCGAGGCCAAGGCCCGGTCACAGTCAGGGATCCTGGACGGGGAAGGTGTTGCCTGGTCAGCCCCAGGTGAGGAGCGCCGGGGCCCCGCCCAGCCAGAGGGCCCCCTGCCGTCCAGCTGTCCCCGCTCCCCCAGCGGACTGCGGCCCCGAGGCTACACCATCTCAGATTCGGCCCCGTCACGCCGGGGAAAGAGGATGGAGAGGGACGCCTTCAAGAGCCGAGCAGGGACCTCCAACACCGAGAAGGTGCCCGGCATCAACCCCAGGTGAGCCCCACCTTCCTGGTGCTCCTGTGGGGGCCTGGTGCTGGCGGGGCCTGGTCAGGGCAGACTGGCCACAGAGACCAGCCTCCTTGGTGACCACGCTCTGGCCCTCTCCCCCTTGGGCTGTGACTGCTGGCTGTGACCTCACCCGTCTTCTCTCGCCTGCAGCTTCGTGTTCCTGCAGCTCTACCACTCACCATTCTTCGGTGACGAGTCCAACAAGCCAATCCTTTTGCCTAATGAGGTAGGTGGGTCCTCCCCCCGCAGGGCCCCCTGGGGCCCGGCTGCAGGTGCACAGTGGGCTGGACCCCCGGCTGGGCAGTGGGGGCTGCAGCCCAGTCCTGGAGGCCCGAGAGGAGGGGCCTCCCCCGACAGGCACTGGGCTGCGCCTGGCTGGGCGGGGCTGGAGGAGGGGCCTTTTCCGCCAGGGACTCAGGCTGGGCTCTGTGGCTGCAGTCTTTCGAACGGTCAGTGCAGCTCCTCGACCAGATCCCATCATACGACACGCACAAGATCGCTGTTCTGTATGTGGGAGAAGGCCAGGTGAGGCTGCCGGGCTGGCAGGGGCTGCCTGGGTGCTGGGCAGAGGGTGGCCACCCTGCTGGGGGTGGGGTCCTTGTCCTCCACAGAGCTGGGTTCTGCAGGAGCCGCTAGAGTGTCAGGTGTGCATGGAGCTCCCTTCCCTCCGGGACTCAGGAGTGAGATTGACAGGCTGGGTGGGAGCACGGGGTGCTTGGGGGGTGGGTTGTCACTGACCCCAGGGAGTTGGCTGTGAGCAGAGATGTGGAGGAAGTAAGGACATGCAGAGGAGTGCCGGGCAGGGGTGGCGAGGGGACAGGACGTGACGGGACATGGTGGCACCCCTCGAGGCGGGCAGTTCCCAGTGCAGGGTTTGCATTGACTCGACCTGAGTCTCAGAAGCGCCCTGGCTGCCGTGGGCCGAGGGCCGGCCCGGTGGGAAGAGAGGGATGGGCAGCCAAGGACTCTGGGTTTTTCTGAGGACAGAGCCAGCCCAGGTCAGCGGCAGACAGACCAGGAGCAGTGGGCTGGGGGGGTGACACCCCGGCAGTGGGTGTGAAGCTGCCCTGCCCTGGTCAGGTGGGCAGCAGAAGGGGGGCTGTGCCAAGGCACACTAATCATCCTGACCCTGGCCCCCAGCAGCATCAGGCCCTTGGGGTCCTGCGGGCCCGGGACGGGGGGTGGCTGGGGGCAGCCTGGGAGCTGGTGCTACCGTGCCTTCGTCTCCCTGCAGAGCAACAGTGAGCTTGCCATCCTGTCCAACGAGCACGGCTCCTACAGGTACACAGAGTTCCTCACGGGGCTGGGCAAGCTCATTGAGCTCAAGGACTGCCAGCCGGACAAGGTGTACCTGGGCGGCCTGGACGTGTGCGGTGAGGATGGCCAGTTCACGTATTGCTGGCATGACGACATCATGCAAGGTGCGCCCTCCCTGCCCTCTGGCCCGCTCCTCGGGGACCTCCACCCAGCCCGCCCCGCTCAGCCCTGCCTGCCCTGCAGCTGTCTTCCACATTGCCACCCTGATGCCCACCAAGGACGTGGACAAGCACCGCTGTGACAAGAAGCGCCACCTGGGCAACGACTTCGTGTCCATCGTCTACAATGACTCTGGCGAGGACTTCAAGTTGGGCACCATCAAGGTGTGCTTGGGGGCCCTCAGAGGCGAGCGCGGGGCCCTCGGGGCAGGTCTGGGCCCCGGGCTGAGTGTGGAGGGGGTTGCAGAAAGTGGCCCTTGGCACCACGGTGACCCTGATCCCGTGTGAGCAGGGCCAATTCAACTTTGTCCACGTGATTATCACCCCCTTGGACTACGAGTGCAACCTGGTGTCTCTGCAGTGCAGGAAAGGTGAGGCGGGGCGGGGGCGGGGGGCAGGGAGAGGCTCCAGGGCTGAGCCCCATGTGAGCGCCATGTCTCCCCAGACATGGAGGGCCTTGTGGACACCAGCATGGCCAAGATCGTGTCGGACCGAAACCTGCCCTTCGTGGCCCGCCAGATGGCCCTGCACGCAAACGTGAGCAGAGGTGGCCCCTGGGAGGTGGGGGTCAGGCCCGCAGGTGCCCCCACGCAGGGCTCACCGTCCCGCCCTCCCCACCCCAGATGGCCTCGCAGGTGCACCATAGCCGCTCCAACCCCACCGACATCTACCCCTCTAAGTGGATCGCCAGGCTCCGCCACATCAAGCGGCTGCGCCAGCGGGTAGGAGCTGGGCCGCGGGGGGGTGCTCCACGGAGGTGGAGTGGCCAGCCTGGGGCGCGTGCGCCACCCCCTCTGGACTTGCTACTGAAGATCCCCCCTCCCCCAGATCCGTGAGGAAGCCCACTACTCGAGTGCCAGCCTGCCCCTGATGCAAACGCACCCTCCTGGTCATGCCAAGGCTCCGGCACAGGCCCCGGCCGAGCCCACGCCCGCCTATGAGACAGGCCAGCGGAAGCGCCTGGTCTCCTCTGTGGACGACTTCACGGAGTTTGTGTGAGGCCGTGCGGGGTGGGCACGCGGACCCTTGGGGCTTCCCCGATTCGGACACAGCCTGGGCTCCCCCAGCTGCGGGACCCGCCCTGCCCCTGTGGTGCTGGCTGATAACTTATCTGTGCAAATAAAGCGCTGCTGTGGCCCAGGCCTGTGCACTCGGACACAGACCCCAGAGTGGACACAGACACGGAGGAGTCAGTCAACTTTTTATTTGACTTCGTCTCTTGGGGGGGTGGGATCTAGGCTGTAGCTTTGGCCATGCCCAACGGAGTGGGGAGGGGGCCTGCCAGGCTGCTGCTGGGGCCTTGCCGTTGGGACAGCCTCACACATACGTGGTCACGCCCACCTCCCCTGGCCCAGGAGCCAGCCCCCGGGCAGAGATCTTCCCCTACCAGCTCTAGGGTCCCAGCCCTCACCCAGACCCGACACCAGCAGGCCTGGACAGGAAGCTAAGGCCATGGCGGTGGCAAGGCCAGCCTGGGGTGGGATTTCCCCTCCAAAAGCCCTCTCTGCCCAGCACTTGCCCAAGGCCAGACTTGGATCTGAGAAGCAGCTGCTGCTCCTCCAGCTGGGCGGACAGGTGTCTGGGGAGGGAAGACCAGCTCTGGCGGTCCCAGCTCCCCTTCACTGTGGGTGACAGTGGGCACAGGCTGCTTCAGCCACCAGATCCCTTGGCTGTATTGAAAAATAAAGCGACGTACAAAAATATACACATTTTAACCCCACATAAATTACAAGAGACAGGGCGGCAGCTGGAGGCGAGTGCACTGAGCAGGGACGGAGGAGGTAATAACTTAGGGGAGGACGACAGGCGTGCGGGCCCCTCCCCAGAGCCTGCGTCCCTGGCAGGGGAGACGTCAGCCAGCAAGGGGGCCGGGCACAGCCCGCTGTACCTGAGGACTTGGGAAATAAATTAGCGTCTGAGGCCGGGCACTCGTCCAGCACTGCTGTGTCCTCCCACAGGAGCGGGAGGGGACCCTGGGTCCGAGCTAGCCACGTGGCCTCTGTAAAGTGCTGAAGCCCGCAGAGAGCCTGCCTGCTCTCTGGGGACCTGCGTGCAGCTGTTCTGCCTGGCCCGCAACCGAGGGTGGCAGAAGGTGATAATACTGAGCGGTGTCTGCTCTGGCTCCGAGGGACCAGAGAGGAGCCACGGGCGCGCCCTGGGGAGAGGGGAGCCCAGAGGCCTTGGCACTAAGAGCTGCTGGGGTGGATCTTGTTCCTGGCCCGCAGTGATGCTCTGCTGGGACCTGTAGCCAGGCCAATGCCTCGACTGGCCCGGGCAAGGCGGCTGGGCAGGACAGGCCGCAGGCCTGGGGAGGGGCCAGGGGGCGGGGAGGCTGGGAGCACATTGCTCCTGTGGCCCTGCAGGCGCTGCAGCCGCCGCTCCAGCTGGTAGACGTCTTCGGTGGCCTGGTTGAGCCGGTCAAACTGGGCGAGTAGGGCCTCAAACACAGCATGGAGGCGGGACGGCTCGGGCTCCAGCTCTCGAGGCCCCGGCCGGCCCAGGCCCACGCTCAGCCCCTCCAGCTGGCTGGAGGAGGTGGAGGGGCGGGAGGTGTCGGAGCCCCCGCTGGGTGGGGGCACGTCCGCGGAAGCCTTGGAGCCCCGGGATGAGCGGGAGGGCAGTGGCTCCATCCCTTCGAAGCGGACTTTGTGGCGGAACTGGGGGCGGCACAGGGGCTCGGTCAGTCCGGCTGCGCCCTGGGCTCCGCTGGGCCCAGGGTGCGTCCCTCTCCCCCCCTGGGCCGTACCCACCTCCTTGACCTTGCTGAAGCCCATCCAGAGGCGCAGGCGGCGCAGGAACAGCTCCACCATCTCATAGTCCTGCGGCTCCCAGGCTGGGCGGTACAGCTCCCCATGCAGAGTGTGGTACCGCCACCGCAGGAGAACGGACCCCAGCCTCAGGGCTCCCCACAGACGCAGGGCCCAGAGCCCCGTGCACAGCATGGGGGACAGGCGCCAGGACTCCGCCGGGCACAGGGCAGGACCCCCGGTCCCGGGGCACAGCACCAGGAAGGCCTGGGCAGCACTCCGAAGCGAGTCCACACAAGAGGAGACCAACTGCAGCGGAGGGGGCACGAGTGAGGGGTGGGCCTGGGCCCAGCCACCCTCTCCCACGGCCCCGCTGGGACCTACCAGGACAGCAAGCTGCGCGTAGGCTGCGGCGAGCATCACCAGGCCCAAGGCTGCCCCCGCGAGCTCCGGCAGCGCCCGGCACAGCGTCTTGCCGAAAACCGACCACTGGCGCACAAAGCGCAGCTGCTGGGCGGCCTGCGGACAAAGGGCGTCAGCCGACTAACCCTGCCAACGCTGCCCGCCCGGACCCACCTGCTCAGCACTCACCTTGACCAAGAGCAGGAAGAGCAGCGAGGCGGTCAGGCCCCGAGCCACGGCGCTCAGCTGGGCCACCTGTTCGAAGCTGGTGAAGCGGTGCGGGCGGCGGCGCAGGAAGCGGGTCCACTGGCGGTCGGCGGCGCCCAGCTGGGCCAAGCGCACCAGCGCCGCGGCTGCCGTCAGTGCCACCAGCAGCCACCGCGCCCAGGTCCCAGCCCGCGTGGCGCGCGTGCACCCCTCCCGGCGCCAGGCGCGTACCTCGGCCGCCGAGAAGTACAAGGCGAACAGGAGCAGGCTCACCTGGTGGGGCGGGCCGGGGCCGGGGCGGGGTCAGGCCCGTGGAGGGCGGGGCCACGGCCCTGATGCGGGTCCGGGAGGGCGGGGTCAGGTTAGAGGTAGGAGGCCGGGGCGGGTCCAGACCCGCGGAGGAGGAGGGCGGGGCCACGGCCGCGGGGTCGGGGCCGGGAGGGCGGGGCCTACCGAGGTGAGCAGCGGCAGCGAGAGGCCGGCGCTGAGCTGCCGCAGCACGAACGGGCGGACGCTGAGGGCCGCCACTGCGTGTCCAGCCGCTGGGAACTCCAGGCGCAGCGTTACGGCGGCGTGCAGCCCCACGGCCGGGCTGTAGCGTGTCAGCTCCACAAATACGGCGCGGCTTCTGCACAGAGGGCACGGGCAGGGGCCGGGAGTCGGAGGGAGCAGCGCCGGGAGAGACCGGTGCTCTCCAAAGAGGCTTGGGTGGCAGGTGTCGCGGTGACGGGGCGGCGCGCGCGGGGAGTGGGCGGAGGGGCCGAGTACGGGGCCCACCTGTTGTCGATCCAGTTGTGCAGCTGCAGGAAGCCCAGCTGCGCGCGGCTCTCCTCCAGGCTGGGCCCCAGCTCCTGCACGTAGCCCCCGCTGTCGTACACGGCGCAGGAGCCCCAGGACCACACGCTGCCAGGAGGGGGGGCGTCAGCACCGGTGCCCCGGCAAGCTCCTCTGAAGGGCTGTCCCTTTCCCCGGCACCCTGGCCGCCCTCCGGGCTCACCCCAGCAGGTCTGGTGCTGAGTAAGCCCAGATCTCGGAGCTATTGAGAGCAGCGCTCCCCCAGCCAACGCTGTAGTCGCTGGTGCTGAAGCCGCCTGAGGCTGCTGAGCACGCAGGGTCCCTGGAGCCAGGCGGGTGCGGGCAGAGCGCTGAAAGCAGAGGGTCCAGGACCCTGCCTGTTTACCAGCCTCCAGGCCAAGCTCGACAGGGCCTCACCGAGCCCGCCCAGCAGCCCAGGAAGTAGGTGTCACTGTCTGCACATCAGGAGACCCAGGCAGGCCGTCACCCCGCCGCGGGCATTGGATCCAGACCCCGGCACAGGCTTCCCTTTGGAAACAAGTTAGGCTAAGGGCCAGGGCGCCCCTCAGTGACTCACCTTCCTGCAGACGCACCTGCCGCAGCCGTGGGGGCCCCAGCTCTGGCCTGGACTGGTTCCCGTGGATGTAGGGGAGCAGAACGTGGGACATCCATGGCCAGAACTCATCAGACCTGCCCACGCCAAACCCGGAGTCAGTCACATGGCCGTCCCTCACGGCCCAGCCCCCCAGGGTGAGAGGCCCAGCCGGGCCAGCAGGAGGCAGCCAGTGCTGCCCAGGGGAGGAGGCACGGCCTGGGCTTCCTGACATCGGGGCTGGTAAAGCTGTGCTGGGCCTGTCCTGTGTCCTCTCCCCATGGCCAACAGCACCCACTCCAGTTCTGATGACCAGAGATCGACTGAGACGCTTCCCAACACCCCCGAGGGGCTGCGCTGCACCAAGGGCGGGGTTGAGGTGGACCCTGGCCAGCACTGGCACCGCCCTGGCCCAGAGGACAGACCTGTGCCTGCATACAGGGCATCCGTACCGGGTGATGGCCAGGAAGGCCTGGCTGTCCAGCTCCTGCTTGATGGCGCTCTGCAGGCGGTAGGCATGGCTGTGGCACGAGGTATCCCCGTAGTTGGCCAGCAGTGTCACCAGCAGGAAGAACATGTAAACCAGAAGGCCCTGGGGGGCAGGGATAGCCCTGGAGTCAGCCAAACCCAGCCTAGTGCCCCGTGGGTGCAGCCTGTGACAGAGCATGGCTTCCACATGCTGGGCAGCAAAGTGCCCACAGCCAGGGAGGCTAGTGCTGAGAACCAGGCCTGTGGGCACACATGGTCTGTGAAGGCCAGCAAGCTGCACCAGGGCCCCATGAGGCTGGGCAGCAGGAGGTCACGGGAGGGGCTGGGCCCATAGAACCCTAGACCACCTGCGGAAGGAGGAGGGCGCATTGAGGTTTTCAAGAAAGGTGGGCCCTCCTGGAAGGTATTGCCTGGGCCAGGAGGCCAGGAAGGGAGGCCAGGCGCCAGCGTGGGGCCCGAGCTCACCCGCAGCATCCCATGCAGCCTCTTGACCTTCCGGGCTTCCTCCTTTGCCAGGAAGAGCGCGAAGCCGTGGGGCGGCCGCACGCGGGGCACACGCTCGCTCACGGGTGTCACAGCCGGGCTCTCCACCAGGGTGTCATCCTCATCGGGGTGTAGCCGCTTGGCCACCAAGGAGAAATACAGTGCCTCCAGCAGGACCTGGGCCAGGGCTAGCGTCAGAGGGGCCCAAGGAAGCCAGAAGCTGGCAGGCTGGCCTCCCATACCCCTCTCACCTTGAAAGGCTCCCAGCAGAGGAAGGAGGCCAGGAAGCTGGAGCCACTTGAGAGGAGCCACATGACAGATACGCTGGGTGGGAAGCTGGCGCCAACCCACCCTGACACGCCCACGGCCACGGCCACCAGGAGCAGGCTGAGTCCGTGGGCCAGGGGCGCACACCAGGCTGGCAGCAGCCGCTTCCGCAGACCCTCCACCAGCCCTGGGAAGGCAGGCAGATGGGTCAGCAGCGGCTCAGAGGAGCGGAAGGCTGTCCTGGGACTTGGGTGCGCACCTGTCTTGGGGAGCCTGGCCGGTGGGGGCTGTTCCCACTTCAGGCCTGGGCTGGGCAGCCCTGCGTCCCCCGGGCTCCGCAGCATCACGGGCTGGGTCTTCTCGCCAGGGGCGCTGCACCTGAAGCAAGATGGGGGCACTCGCCTGTCAGCGGCACACTACTCGGGGGCGTGGCCAGCCCCCTCTGGCCTCTGCAGAGAGAGGATACCACCCCAGGCCAGGCAAAGGATGCTGGGCCCGCTGGCTGCTCGGGGGCGCTCGCCTCATGGTGCTGGGACCCAACACCCGTCCTTCCTGCCACCGCTCCAGCAGCCGTTGCCCCACAGCGCCATACCTCCCCACCGCCGCCCCTGAGCCCGGCACTCACAGGCCAGCGAGCAGGTCTGTTTCTCCCTGCGTGTCCTGGGTGGGGGCCAGGCTGCCAGCCCCTTCAGCCAGGATCTGCCGGATCAGGTCCTCATCTGGAGAGGGCGGGACAGGTCAGCCTGGAGCCCTCCTAGGGGGCCGGGCAGCGCCTCCCCACCCCACGCACCTGAAGCGGAGAAGTACTTGGCAGGTGAGGAGGGGCTGACCAGGGAGAGACTGTCCTCCTCCGGGCCTGGTGTGAGGCCCATCCGGCCCCGAGCCAGCCGCTGCAGGGCACTGCCCATGACGGACGGGTCACTCAGCAAGTCTGGCCAGCTGAGGGTGCCTTCGCTGGATGGCCAGCACACCAGGCTGCAGGCAACAGTCAGCAAGGGGTGCCCGGGCACGTGATTGCACACACATCCAACCCAAGTCCTATCACAGGCGGACACGCGGGGCTCTAAGCAAATGCTCCCAGGACAAGTGTGTAACACATGGATGAGGACACATGACCCACACAACACACGAAGGAGAACATGCAACCCACATGACACACAGAAGGGGATACGCAACACCCATGACACATGGATGGGGACACGCAACCCACAAGACATGCGCACAAGGACACGCGATGCCCATGACACGCACACGAGGACACACGACGCCCACGACACACGGATGGGGACACGTGACGCCCACAACACGCACACGGGGACACACAACGCCCATAACACACGCATGGGGACACGCGACACCCACGACGCGACACACATGAGGCACAGCTGACCCACACAAACTCATGCTTTCTTTAAGGACCCCACCTTTTAGAATCCTCCAGAAATGAGTCCTGTCTCACTTGTCCAGCAAAGGCCTGTTGAGAAGCATACACAGAGCCTGACTGCAGACTGCCCGTGCCGCAGCCCCACCCGGGCAGGCCCCCGGGAGCCCGCACCTCGGCACCGAGTCCCGGGAAGGCGAGCATGGAGCTGTCCAGCACGGATGAGTCCAGGCAGCTATCCACGTCCAGCGCCTGCGGGCCTGCGGGGGTGGGGCTCAGGCCCCCTGCCACCTGCAGGAGAGGCAGGTCAGCGGGACACAGCTTGGGGCCCCGCTTGGGGAGGCGTGCCCACCCTGGCGAGCAGAGTCTGCAGCAGTGCTGTCCTGAGAACGTTCTAGAACCACACGTGCTCTGCACCTACAGACCCCATCACAGGAGCCACTTTCCACGTGCCGACACGGAGCACCAGGAGCGGCTCCCATGACCGAGAAGCTGAAGTTCTTTCTAATTTGAATCAGCGTAACCGTGGGCAGCCACACACAGCTAAGGACATGACCAGGCCGCTGGCTGAGGTGTGTGGCCTTTGCTGAGCACTACGTGAGGTCTCTGTCTGGCTCTGGCCTCAGGGCAGAGTCAGGAGGTGCCCGGCAGGTTTTATCGAGCCTGTGTGGGACTGCTGCTGACTTTCCATGACTGCTCAGCGGACTCGCCAGAGAGACCACCTGGGCTGTTCTTGGAGGTTTTAAGTGACCTCCCACCGCTGCGCTGGCCCGGGGTCTGCTCAGACTTTGTCCTTAGGTCGGTTTTTCTCAGAACCTGCGGCCTGTCATCCGGGGAGCCCATCCCTGCCTGCTCAGGGACCTGAAACGCGGGTGTCGGCAGCTCACGGGGCCCGTTGACGCCTGACGTGCTCTGGGTGCTGACCCCTCCAGGCCCCCCGGACAGCCCGGCACGCTCAGGGGCCCCACGCACCCACCTTGCTCCGGGACATGCGGAAGAGGAACAGGATGGCCAGGTAAACGGGGTAGACGACCAGGCTGGACACCAGGCCGACGGCGACGGTATCCAGGCTCAGTGGGGCCAGGCTGGACACGGGGCCCCGGCTGCGGGAGAGGATGTACGGGCTGGCTTGCGGGGAGGCAGGGAAGCGGGAGGGGGGAGGCCAAGGCAGGCGGGCCGGCCCGCAGCACGCACCTGTGGGTGCTGTCCCTCACAGCCCCGTACCACACGGCGTTAGCACCCAGGAAGAGGCCGACGAGGAGGACGCAGCACGTGGCACGCTGCACGCGCGTGAAGCGGCTCCGAGGCGGCCGGTCCCATATGGAGAGCCAGACGTGCTTGTCGAAGAAGCCACGCTGCAGCTCAGCGACCAGGAGGCGCTTAAACCGCCGCAGCGCCGCATCGCCTGGGGGGGAAAGGCGGGCTTCAGGAGACCCCAGGCCAGGCATTTGTTTGTTTTGCGGCAGCTGCCAGGTGGGGTCTTACTTGCAGCCAGCACCTCCTTCTCCACCAGGCCCCCGTTGGCCTCCGTCTCCACCGACAGCCAGTCGTTGACCAGGAAGAAGGTGCTGCGGGCGCTCTGCAGGTCCCGAATGATGACATGCTGCAGGAACCAGGCGGGGCTCAGCCCTGCGAGAGTGGGCAGGCAGTCAGGGTCAGCGGGCAGTGGTAGGACGGGGCAGGCGGGGCAGGGCGGTCAGGGCTGGCGGGCAGTCAGGGCCAGCGGGTGGTGGGTGGGCAGGGTGGGCGGGCAGAGGGCCATCAGGGCTGGTGGGCAGTCAGGGCCGGTGGGCGGGTGGGCAGTGGGCCGTCAGGGCTGGCGGGCAGTGGGCAGTTGGTCAGGGCCAGCGGGCAGTGGACAGGCAGCGCAGGACAGGGCAGGCAGGCGACAGGCCCCACCTTTGTTGTCGTGCCACACGCGGATCTTCCACAGGCGGCCCAGGCTGTGCGGGGTGGCAATCTGGAAGACGTCCAGGCTGTTGCGCTGGAAGGCTCCGTCCCCATCCAGGTGCCGGTGGCCGCTGCGGCCGTCTGCCCCGTACAGCATGATGCCCACGTGAGCCGTGGTCCCTGGAGCACAGGTGGACAGGAGGCATGACTCTGGGTTTCTGTCCCCGGGCGCATCTGCCTGTCTATCTCCCTTCGACAGGCACAGGCCTCACCCTGTGGCTCCAACACAATCTCAGGCCCTCAAACTGTTCCACGAATGGCCCCAGTAGTGGTGGAGCGTTAACGGCAAGTGACCACATGGAACAGAAGCACGGCTGCCAGCCTGCAGTCTGCTACGCGAGTAAGAGACCCACGTCCTGGTGGCGACTGGTGACACCACCCCTTCCAGAGCCTGCTGCTGACCGGTCACCACGCAGCTGTCTCACACAAACCAAGCGCACAGTGGTCTCGCCCCCGCGTCAGCCACGCTAAACCTATGTGACATTTTATGAATGTCACAGAGAGGAACAGAAAAAAACTTCAAAAGTAAAACTTTCCCTGGACTTCCTTGGCAGTCCAGTGGTAAAAACCTGCCTTGCAGCAAAGAGAACACAAGTTCGATCCCTGGTCCCGGAAGATTCCACATGTGGTGGGACAACTCGGCCCGTGTGCCAGGGTGACGAAGCCCGGGCTCTAGAGCCCGCGAGCCGCAGTGCTGAGTCAGCGCCGGGAGCCAGAGAGGAGCGCCCACGCCACTAGAGAAAGCCCACCCAGCAACCAAGACCCAGGATAAATAAAACATAAAAACTTAAGAAAATAAATACTTTCCTAACAAGAGACAGGGCCAGGTGATAAAGATGAAAGCGTAGCAGAGAAGAAAACTGGCACCAAGGAAGTGCACTGTGAATCAAAGGCGAACGCGCAACTGAAGGCGCAGCCAGCTGTGCAGCTCCCGCCGCCACCCCAGGCCCTAAAGAGGCCGCCGGTGACAGCAGAGTGGCCGACACGAGCGAGGCCAGTGGCTGCAACAAGAAGGGTGAAGATGCCACGGAGCAGCCAGTATAGCAAAACGCTTCTTCACGTGAGAAGAGCTCTCAGAGGTGCCTCACAGCGGAAGCACGGACGGCATGGGCGGTAAAATGACCTCTGGCCGGAGAACAAGGACGCCCCTAAGGTGGCGCTCATGGACAAGAACACCGCTCGGACTACACTTGCTCAGTTTCCCACAAAGAAACAAGATGCCTGACCTCAGCGTCCAACAAGTACATCACGCAGGACTGACCCCACGCCAACCTGACTCTCTGACGGCTCGAACCGATGGTCAGAGAGCTAGGGACATCGTGAAAACAGTTTTCTCACCTGGACGACCTGCTACCGTTCAGTAATCACCTCCCATACCGAGAGATGGGCTTCCCTCAGTCAGTAAAGAATCCGCCTCCAATGCAGGAGACCTGGGTCGATCCCTGGGTCAGGAAGATCCCCAGAAGGGAATGGCAACCCACTCCAGTATTCTCGCCTGGAGAATCCCATGGACAGAGGAGCCTGGCGGGCCACAGTCCATGGGGCCACAGAGTTGGTCATAACTTAGTGACTAAGCTATGGTCCCGCTAGTCCTGCCCACCTGTGCACGCCGGTGGCCACCCTGTGGGACTGCAAACCTATAGGCCACTGCTTGCAGACCTGCCCCGCCAGAAGCCCCTCACCTGAGCCCCGGCCCCAGCCGGTCTTGACCAGGATCTCGTACTTGAAGCGGCCCCCCTTCCCGCAGAATGGGATGGCACGGACCCGGCGGACGTCCAGCTGGTCCAGCTTCCGCAGGATCACGGCCATGACCGCGTAGGTCAGTAGGCACACAGCACAGGTCAGCAGGACAACGTGGTTGACGCCGGAGGCCGGCTCCTGGGGAGATAGGCCCGTCAGCCCCGAGGCCACGCACCGCGGCACCAGGCTTCCCTCCGTCCAGGCACGGCGCCACTCACGGGGAAGGTGAACTCGACGCGGCTGGCGGGCACAAAGAGGCTGGCGCCGAAGGCGGTGAGGTGGCGGGTGAGGCAGACAGCCTCGCGGGGCGAGGTCTCCTCCAGAGGCACCAGCCCCTCTGTGCGCCACGCCATGTCCTCCTCGCTGAAGTACTGGCAGAGCGACGTGTACAGGCCCACGGACACCGTCAGCGCTGACCAGCGGAAGTGGCTGCTCAAGTTCAGGTAGTAGCTCGTGCCCAAGTCTCGGGACCTGGAGGGGGGCGTGTCACGGTCAGGCCCCGCCCGGCCCACCAGGGGGCGCCCACCCGCCAGCGAGGCCCGCTGTGCACCCTGGGGCGATGAAGAAGGTGTAGGGCCTGTGGTCTCCGCCCGCCAGGGCCTCCAGGCTGATCCTCTTGCTGGCTGAGCAGTTGTGCTCGTTGGGCCGGGGCTCCGAGTGCAGGTAGGCGGCCAGGAAGGGCTCGGGCTCCTCCGGCAGGTACTGCTCTGTGGGTGGGTGGCACGGGCAGGCTCGGACCCCCGGGCGGGCAGCCCACACGCCCCGGGAGCCCTCCCCTGTGGTCCTCCAGCCAGGCCCCTAGAGCCTCGTGAAGCAGGACACAGGACTTAACACAGGCCACGAGTTGGGGGAGCCCGTGAGAAACGCCGGTTCAGCTGGCCAGCCTGCGGCCCCGCACAGGCTGGGCCAAGAGAGGAGGCCACCCACCGGGGGCCCCGCCAGCCACGCACCGTCCAGCACCGTGAAGGTAAGCTGCAGGTGCAGCCCCGCCTCGGGGTTGCTGTTCTCGAGGGTGACCACGACGCTGACCGAGGCCCGGGGCTGGATGACGGCAGAGCCAGCGGGGACGCGCTGGCCCTGGGAGGCCTGATCCGAGTTGTTGGGCACCTTCACGGTGATGGCGCGCTCCGAGGCCAGCTGCCTGATGGGGATCTGGGTGCCAGCCTGCGTCTGGAAGGCCATGGAGGCCACCTTGGTGGAGACGGTGTAGTTGCTGATATAGCCGAAGGGGAAGGGGTTGGAGTCCACGAGCAGGATGAGCTGCACCACGTCGCTGAGGTTGGGCAGGGCAGCGCTGAAGGCCTCAGGGATGGAGAAGTGACAGCCAGGGCCTGGGGCGTCACCCTGGCACAGCAGGCTTCGCGGGTCCGAGCGCTTGCCTTGCGCCAGGATTTCCTCCCCTGCCAGCGTCAGGGGCTCCTCGTTGAGCACGCGGGAGCGCGTGAGGATGCCCACGAGGGCGGACGAGAGCTGGTAGGCCCTGGACGCCACCAGCAGCGAGGGCGGCTCCGCCCCCAGCTCCGAGGGCTGTGGGCCATGCACGTCTGAGCTGGCCACATGGATGAGGTCGCCTGTGGGAAGGAGAGGTTGGGGGGGAGGAAAGTGAGGGGAGGGGTGGTGGGAGGGGTCAGGGAGAGGAGGGGACAAAGGTCGGAGGGGAGCAAAGGTCAGAGGGGCGCGGCAGGGCAGAGGGTGGCAAGGGTAGCGCACCTGTGATGTTGAGGATGCTGTCTGCGATGGCGGTGGGCGTCCCCGCCCCCGTGGCGGTCTCCGCCTGCAGGATGCGCATCATGTCCTCCAGCCTGTGCAGCGTCTTCTTTAGGCATGAGCGGCACACAAGCTCCCGGCTGGACACCTGCAGGGCGCCCGCACGCATCCAGCTGGCTCGCCAGGCCAGTAGGGCTTGCCCCGCTCACCCCACCCCCAGGGCAGCGTCTGCAGGGGCCTCCCCGCCTCTGCAAGCCGATCTGAAGCACCCTTCCGCTGCGTTTTGCAGAATCCACACTGAACACACCTCCATCCCCAGCCTCTCTCCCGGGAGCCCCTCGGTGACCCTTCCCCACACACAGGCCAAGTTCAAGGTAATGTGGCCCCACTGGCCACCTCGGTCCCTCACACGCCTGAGCCCAGCACAGAGACCCTGCACTGCCCTCCTGAGGCCTCGGCAGCAATCCCCGGCCTCCCCGGCACGCTGCCCGCATTAGGACGGAGCCCAGCCCAGCCTGGCTGCTGACTCCCGGGCAACAGGGTGGGGACCACAGGCCCGGGGGAGGACAGCATGCTCCACGTGCCCAGAGCCCCAGGGGCCACCCTGGGGGGCACACAGCCGTGCAGGCTTGGCTGGGAAGGGAGCTCTCGGGGCATGGAGGGGCCAGGCTGCTGCGGGGCTGGTCTGTCCTACCGTGCACTGGGCCAGCGCAGCCGCCACCTGCTGGATGTCGTCCACCGTGTTGACCCGCAGGGACACCAGCGTCTCCGTGATGTTCTTGCGTATCTGGGCACGCAGCTCCTGCCTGGGGTCCGGCTCCGCCAGCACAGGTAGGGTCTGCTCATACTGTGGGCACAGGGCTGTCAGTGGGCAGCGCCGGCCCAGCACCAGCAAAGGGGGCTTCCCGGGACCTGTTGGGGGGCCGCCTGGCACAGGGGGTCTCACCCACCTCGTTGAGCACAGCGATGAGGGCCAGTGAGTACTCCATGACGTGCTGGGGGTCGGCCTGCCGCAGCAGCCCCGGCAGCGTGCTCCCCGCCAGGCTATGCAGCCAGCCCGTGAGGTCCGGGGGGCCATCAGCGGGGTCTCCAGGGGGGTCTGGTAGGGTGATGGTTAGAGACCTGGGGGCAGAGGTGAGGCGTGAGTGGGGCGTGAGTGGGGCTGGGCCCTCTCCCATCCCCGGCCGGCCAGCCGGCCGGCTCCGTGGGCTCACCTGTTCAGAGCGACCACGGTGGCCCCCAGCTGGTCCTGTACCAGCACGGCCAGGCCCACCACGAAGTGGGGCGCGAAGCCGGGCGGCAGCACGGCCCCGTAGGAGGCGAGGCTGCCCTTGTAGACGCAGAACTCCTCGCAGTGGCCCTGGCGGCAGCGCCGCAGCTGCAGGGCGTATACCAGCGGTGCACCAGCGTCCTCCGCGTCCTGCCAGCCTGTGGACCCAGAGCGTCAGCGGGGTCCCCACCCACCCCGCTTGCCCCGCGGCCAGCTGTACTCACCTGCGCACTCGAAGTGCAGCTTGGTGATGAGCGCACGCACGTCCTCCAGTGGGAAGAGGCGGCAAGAGCCGCCCCGCGGCGGGCGGTTCGGTGCCAGGCGGATGGAGGCGCAGCCCTGCTCCTGGCCCGAGCGGCCCAGCACGGTCAGCGTGAAGGTGTAGCCCTCACCGTCGCGCAGCACGCCCTGCCGCACCACCAGCCGCATGCCCGCGCGGCCCGTGGACGTGGTCGTTGCATCCAGCACCAGCGTCTCGTTGCTGAAGCTGCGTGCGGCCCACAGCTGGGGGGGGCATGGAGACCACGGTGCTCAGTGGAGGGTCTCCCCCAGGGCCTCCCAGCGCCCCCGGCCCCTTCCCACTCACCCCTCGCTCCGAGCCCCCGTCGCAGTTGTCACAGCGGCCCTCCAGGTACACGTAGGAGCTGCGGCTCACCGCGTACACCGCCTGTGCCTTGCACGACACGCACTCCAGGGACACAATGGGCAGCTGGCCGCTGCGGACCAGCACCTGGAAGCCAGCAGGGTGAGGGGCCTGCCACCCTGGGTGGGGCTCTGCTCCCGATGCCAGACCCTCCCGTCTGCCCATGTGGAGGGCAGCAGCAGACCCACGGGGGAGCAAGGCTACCAGCCCTGTCATGCCCAGTTCTCCTGTGCCCCCGCCCCTGCCAGCCCCACCTGCCAAGGCTCCTCTCAGGCCAGCCCTCACCCAGGACTCTGTGGTTTTGTGACTCCCAGGCAGGGGGAGGGGATTCGAGGAGCACAGACCACAAGGGCTTATTTTTTGCAGCCCCTAGGGCCCCCAACACGTGTATAAACACAAGTGGACGGAGCAGCAGAGGCGGGAAGGCGTGAGCAAGCGCACACGTCTGTGTGGGGACGACAGCGTCAGGTGTGGCTCCGTCTGAGCCCCCAGCGCTGTGCACGCTGGGGGGTCCCCGGCACACAGCCCCAGATGGCTCCTCTGGGCAGGACCCCTGCCGGGCAGAGGCCTGGCACCCCCCAGCACAGGGGACACCCCCCCATCCCGGGCACCAGCAGGGCCTGGTGAGCTGGCTCCCATCACAGCCAGTGGGGTGCCGTGCCCAGGGAGGGAGAGCATGCCACACAGGCGAGGCCAGGCCTCCCCGTTTCGAGAGGGGCTCCCATGCATGGGGAGGGGATGGCCTAGGGCTGTGCCTCGAGGCCTCCTGCACCGCTATGGCCTTTCTGGAGAAAAGCCAAGCCAAGGGCTGTCTCGTTAAACAAAAACGGCATCGAGAGGAGTGATACTCCAAAACCAATGGCTTCTAGGAGCCCCGAAACGTAAAGAGACCCCTTAAGAACAGGAGCTGGGTGCTGCATGGGCTCCGCCTAGCCAGCCGCGCCTGTCTGGGGGCCGGGGACTCCCCGGGGCTGGGCCATGGCAGCACCCACCGTCTGGCTGGTGACCTCCTCCTTTCGGCCGGCCTTCCACACAGTCAGGTTGAAGGTGTACTCCACGCCAGCGCGCAGGCGCTCCCGAGGGATGGTGACCACGCTGCTGCCGCGGGGCCCAAAGTTCAGCGCGCACCCACCAGTCTCACTCTGCAGCCCGTAACAGGGAGGAGTGGGGGTGAGACCCCAGAGACGCTCTGGCCCCCAGCAGCAAGGAAGACACCCCACCCCCGCAGGGGTCCAGCCCCCACCCCGGGCACACACAGACACCCCGAGCGGAGCGAGGAGGATGCGCGCCCCATGTGGCTGACCTGCGTCGCGGACACGCAGGCCCAGTGGAAGCTGAGCGGCGTCTGGTCGCCGTCCTCCAGGTTGGGGTCGTAGGACTTGCTCCCGTCCAGCACCAGGTCCTGGGAGTCCGACCACACGCGGGAGGAGCCGCCCTCCACGATGGGCACCAGGCGCTCGGCGGCCACCGTCACGTTGGCCTGGATGCTGCGGGCCAGCGGCGTGTCCCCGAACGACACCAGGAACACAAAGCAGTAGTGGCCCACAGGCAGCGCGAGCCGCGGCAGCACCAGCTGGGGCCGGCTCACGTCCACCCCGGGCAGCGCCACCCGTGCCGCGCGCCCGGGCCGCTGGCAGCTGGCCGCACGGTACACCTCCCAGCGGTATTCGGTCTGGTAGCTGACGCAGTCCCGCAGGTCGACGTGGGCCTCCAGGTAGTTGCGCTGGGAGCGCCGCATGAGCACCTGCGGGGGCAGGGCCACGTCCACCGCGGGCTCCCTGCAGGCCAGCACATGCACGGTGACCGTGGCCTGTGCCACAAAGAAGCTCACCAGGTTGGAGGCGTTCACCTGCACGCGGTAGTCCCCGGGCTGCAGGTAGGAGTGCGCCGCCCAGGGCACCTCCGTGTCCTCCACTGGGGCCCCGTCCCCGAAGTCCCAGCGGTAGGTCACGCGCCGGGCGCTGGGGCTGGTGGCCGCCTCAAAGTGGGCAGAGCGGTTGGCGAAGCAGCGGGGGCCACGCAACGCCACGTGTTGGATGGCGTCCTGCACCTCCACCTGCAGCGTGCAGTTCACGCCACCCAGCTCGTTGAAGGCGCGCACATGGATCTCCAGCAACCCCGCGGCCACGGGGGTGTAGGTGACGTCACGGCCCGACAGGATGACCAGCGAGTCCCCCTGCACCTTCTGCAGTGAGAAGTACCAGGCGTAGGCGACGCGGGAGCCCTGCTGCACACGGGCACTGAAGTTCCGTTCGGCGCCTGTGGCGATGGCCAACCCGCAGCAATCGGGCACCTGCAGCCCACCCACGGCCTCCAGCACCGAGATGCGCACCTGGGCCTGCGCCCGGCTCACGCGGTTCTCGGCGTGCACGCTCACCGTGTAGTCCCCAACTCGAGGGAAGCTGCGGGAGAAGTGGGGCTCAGGCAGCACCTCGAGGCCACCCCCACCAACCTGCAGGAGGAAGCGGACGGCCGAGCCGGCGGCCAGCAAGATCTGAAAGTGCACCGGCTGCCCGGGCTCCACCACCTTCCTGCTGGCCCACAGCACCAGGCCCACGACGGGCTCCTGCACGGTGAGGTTGTGGGTGGCCACCACCCAGCTGACCGCGTTGGAGGCATTGAGCTGGACCCAGACCGGGCCGGCGTCGGAGAGGACCACAGTGACATGCTGGCCCTGCCTGCTGCCACCCGGCACGGCCCAGCGCCAGCTCACATCGGTGCCTGCAGCCAGCTGCCCCCAGAAGGGCACCGTGGAACCGGCCACCACGAAGCCGCCGTCAAGTTCCCTGGCCTGGATGCTGAGGCCACTGACGGGCACTTGCACGACCACCTCCACGCTGGCGTTGGCCGAGCCCAGCTGGTTCTCGGCCGTGACTGTGACTGGGCGCAGGCCGGGGGTGGGGAAGCTGAGGGCGGTGGACGGCTCCGGGGTCTCCCAGCGCGGCCCCTCCTCCAGGGACCAGCTGTAAGTGACGCCGCTGCCCCCAGCCAGCTCAGCCCGGAGGACGATGCTCGCATTGACGGCAGCTGGGTTCGGGGAGGCGGTGATGGCCAGCCACCCTACTGGCTCCACGAAGTCCACTGTGCAGTTGGCTGAGGCACTGCCCAGCATGTTGGTGGCCCGCAGCTGGACGTGGTAGGTGCCGGCCTCAAGCACGGTGAGTGAGAAGGCTTTGCCACTGCCGGCCAGGGTGGGGCCACTGTCGCGCTGAGCGGCCCAGCTGTAGGAGATGTTGGTGCCATCCCGCACCGCGGCCTGCAGCTGCAGCGTGCGGTTGGTGGGGAAGCAGCAGCCGCAGCCCACCACCTGCAGCCCTTCGATGTGCTGCAGGACGTAGACAAAGATGCTGTCCTGGGCCGCACCCACCTCGTTCTCGGCCGTGACGATGATGTTGAAGGTGCCCACGGAGCGGAAGGTGTAAGAGATGGTGGGGCCCCCGGGGATGGGTGTGCAGCGGTCACAGAGGACCCAGGAGTAGCGCACGTCGCTGCCAGCCTCCAGCACCGTGCTGAAGCTCACGCTGCCATTGAGGGGCAGCACCGTGCGGCTGGCGTTCACGCTGAGCCCCCGCACGCGCCGCTGCACCGTCACATTCAGCCGGGCCTCCCCCCGGCTTACCTCGTTCCAGCCAGCCACCCGGACTTGGAAGCAGCCCGTGCTACCATAGGAGTGGGTGACTGTGGGGCCCTGCAGCCGCCCGCCGTCCCCCAGCTCCCACAGGTAGCTGGCGGGGCGCCCGTGGCCCACGGCAGAGAACAGGTAGGGCTGCTGCAGCTCCAGAGCGTGGGAGCTGTTGACCCTGATGCCCGTGACCTCCACGGGCTCCTGCACCTCCACCAGCGCCGAGTCGTTGGCGGCCGAGATGTTGTTGGCTGCGGTGACCGTCACCAGGTAGGAGCCCACGAGCCGGTAGGTGAACGTGGCCTCAGGGCCCCCAACGTGGGCGGCGGCATCCTCGGTGCCGAAGTCCCAGGTGTAGCGGTAGGGGAAGGGGGGCCAGGCGTGGGCCACCAGGTGGGCCTCGTCCCCGAGCCGCACGAACTGCCTCTCGGGCCGCAGGGTGACGTTGCCCAGCTCGGGCTCCACGCAGACGCTGCTGAAGTAGTGTGCTCTGTTCACGCGGCTCGCCAGTACCAGAGCCAGCGGGAACGTGCCGCTGCGCGTAAAGTTGTGCGTCACAGTTGGGTCCCCCCGGATGCTGATGTTGGACGAGCCGTCCCCGAAGGTCCAGTCAAAGACATAGTGGGCAGGGTCCCCGGTGACGTGGGCCGTGAGCCGGGCGTGTGGCTGGGAGGCGATGCAGGCTACCGGCTCGATCCACAGCACCTCTAGGACGAAGACGTGCACAGGCAGGCTGTGGGCCAGGCGGCCGGCGGGGCTGGATGCACCCACCGTCACCGTGCAGTTCTGCGCCCGCCGGTACACGTGCTCCACCGTGGCCTCAGGGCCCATGAGCACCGTGCCATCCCCCATGTCGAAAGTCCACGTGACGTTGTCACCGGAATCCAGGGCAGCGCTGACCACCACGGGCGCACCCTGCTCCACGGCGGGGCTCAGGCTCACCGTCAGGCCGCGGAGCTCCTCAAAGACACGCACACTGATGGCTGCCACCACGAGGCTCACCGTGTTGTTGACCTCCAGGCGGACACGGTATGTGCCCCTCGAGGCGAACGTGTGGTTGACCTCTGGCTGGGGCTGGCTGACAGCTGGGGAGCCATCCCCGAAGTCCCACGTGTAGAGGACACCGCCCGGCGATGGAAGCGGGCACGGGAAGAAGGTGACGGGCCAGCCAGCCACCAGGACCTGGCTGCCCACGGCCACGGCCACGGCCGGCAGGGCGGCACGCACACTGACAGGCACTTGCTGCGTCAGGTTCTCAAAGGCAGTGGACACGAGCAGGGTCAGGTTGTATTCACCTGGTGGACAGGCCCCAAGTGGGGATGTGGCCGAGCCAGTGCTGCCACCTGGCTTGCAAAACCCCTCCTGACCCCGGGCTGTGGGCAGGGCTGCGGGGCAAACAGGGCCCCAGGTGGACTCTGAATACAGACGACCCTGGGCCTGCGTACTTGCCACACGAGGCGAGGCAGAAAGAGGTGAAGGGCAACTCAGGTGCAAACGCCCTTGGGTGACGGGGTGGGTGCACAGCCAGGATCATGGGGCTGTTTATACTTCCATATGAGGCTTCTAGGACTTCAGAAACGACTTACAAGAATCTACCCTTCTCCGCCAGAAAAGGCTCAGGGGAGGGGACGGGAGGGACGGAAGTGATCTGTTTCTGGTCAGCAGACTCACATCGTGGGTCTCTGAGGACCAATCTCCCCTCACCTCCCTTCTTCACCCTAGTAGGGGCCCCAGGCCATCAGCCCCGGCTGCATTCTGGAGGCAGGACCCAGGGACCGCCCCCCAGGAAGGTGCTGCCCCAGGGCAGAGCGCGCCCAAGCTGCAGGCCATGAGGGCGGGAGGCGGCCCTCACCTGGGACGGTGTAGGTGTGCGAGGTGTTGTGCCCCACCAGCACCTGGGCCACCGTGGGGTCTGGGACCTCGAAGGACTTGTCGTACGGAGGCTTGAACTGGCTGACCGCCTGCTCCCCATCCCCGAAGGTCCACCTGCCGGGGCAGGGAGCAGCAGTGAGCAGCCTGGGGAGGTCGGGAGGGCCCGCCGCACCCCTGGAGCGCCTGCTGGCCCGGCTGCAGCCCCCTTCCTGGGAACCACTGCCCTGCTGCGGCCCCTCCGAAAGGGCTCGTGTCCCCAGCACGTCCTGGCAGCGAGGTGGAGACTGGGGGAGATGCCGCACTCACAGGAAGGCCACCTCTACGGCCGAGTCCACCAGCACGTGGGCGGCCAGCGCCAGCGTGGCGTTGGGGGCCAGCACGGACGGCACCGCGGACACCTGCAGGCCCTGCATCCGGTGCATTGGCTCCACGGTGACGTTGAAGTGCGCGCTGACGCTGCTCACATGGTTGGAGGCCGTCAGCTGTGGACACAGGCGGCAGTGAGCAGGCTGCCTGCTAGCCGCGAGGTGGTGTAGACAGAGCCCCCCACGCCCCGCACTCACCCACAGCCGCCACGGGGTCCTTAGAAGCAGAGCGGAGCAGAAAGCATAGGTGAGCGGCGCACAGCCCCGCCCAGCCCAGCCCCGCCCCATGACCCGCCCCCATGCCCGAGAACCCCTCCCACCGAGAGCTTGAAGACGGCTGCGCTCTGGTAGATGACGTTGAAGACCACGTTGTGGAAGGTCAGGGACTGTTTGTCGTCGATGGTCCAGCGGAAGACCACGTCTGAGCCAGCCTCCACCACGGGACTGTACCTCTGCAGAAAGGCACCATGTGAGGTGGCCATGACCTGCACCCCAGGCCAGGGTCCCTGGGGGATGGATGCTGCCCCCAGCCCAGGCCCACCCACCTAGACAAAGCTGTCTGTGGGCTTCCCTTTCGGCCACGGAGGTCACACCGTGCAAGGCTGAGCCCAGGCCTGGCCACACACAGCCCTCTCTGTACCTCGAGGCCCAGAGCCCACGACCAGAAGCCAACCCACCATGGCCTGCGCCCCCATCCCGGGCTCCCACTCGGGAGGCACGTGTGTCCCCATGGGCCTCGTGGTTCTGGACGCTTCCCAGTGTCACCCGACAGACAGGTGTAAGCAGGGAAGACGGGATGCAACTGCACAATGGCCCATCTGCGAGACGGGCACCCAGAGAACGGGCGCGGCCCCTCCTGCAGCCGGGTGGTAGTGCGTCCCAGCCTTAGAAAGGGCTCGCTTCGCTCGGTGAGACCCCAGTGGGGGGGTCTCAAAAAATACCCAGAAACAGGGCGGTCAGAGGCAGGTGAAGAGCTCAACTGCTGGCTCAGGAAACGTGGGAGAAAGAAGCGTTTTCAGATCAACTGTTCCGGAGCTGACTCTCCCGTCACTCGGGGATTGACGAGCCATCTGCGTGCAGGGCCACCCGCCAGAACCTGCCCAGAGCCCGACACCCAGCCCAGTATCCCAGCCCAGGCGCACTCTGGGCTGGGAACGGGTGGCCCTCCGCGGGGAGCTGCATCTTGGGGAGGTTGGGACCCCACTCACCACCAGAACGCCCTGCAGCACGCGGGCCTCGGGGCTGGGCGTGGCGCGGAGCCCGCGGATGGGCTCCTCTGCTGTCACCAGCAGGCTGAGGTTGGCCCGGCCGGCCCCGTTCTCCACCACCACCTCCACTTCGTGCTCGCCCTCACGGAGCTCCGGCAGCTTCAGCACCGAGAACAGGCTGCCATTGGCCGCCTCGGCACAGCCAGGTGCCAGGGCGGCCACAGCGGCCGGGCAGGCAGCCTCGAAGGGCGCACTGGCATTGCCCCCGGGCCAGCGGGCCACGGCAGTGGCGTTGGCACCAGAGTCCACCTGCAGCACCAGAGCCGAGCCGCTGGTGGGCACATAGAAGCGGCCGTCCTGGGGGGCCGGGTAGATGGCCTGAAGCCCAGCCACCGGAGATAGGACATCGAAGCTGCAGGTCAGGTTGTGCCTGGACACGCCGTTGCCCACTGTGGCCCTGACCTCGTAGCGCCCTGGCCGCCACAGCCCCGGGTTGGGGCCCAGGCCCAGCAGAGGGGTGAGCCGCTCCGTGGCGGCCAGCAACCGCAGGGCGCAGGCGGGGCCAGCCGGGGCCGCCTCCAGCTGGGCAGGCAGACGGGCAAGCCAGGCTGAGGCGTTGGCGGAGAAGTATGGGGTCTCGGAGCCCAGGAAGCCCAGCGTCGGGGGGCAGTGCAGGAGGGCACCCGGCCCTGCATCATGCTGCAGGCTGATGAGGTCGCCAGGGAGCAGGGCGACGTCCTGGCTGTGGAAGGGGACCTGCGGGAGAGGGCGGCGGGGCTGGGTCGTGTCCTCAACACGGGAGGCGGCACTGAGTCACTCCCCACGGGGGCCTCCGCGTTCCTTGGTCACTCGGGGTACCCGGCTTCCCAGGGCCCTCCGAGGCGCTCAGGGCAGGGGTGGATGGGACACAGGGCAGAGAGGACGCAGGAGGGGTGGACTGCGTGGACAGGAGCGGGGCCTCTGCTGGACACTGGCCAGCAGTGCCCAGAGGGCAAGTGCAAAGGCCCTGGGGTGGGGGCAGCGGAGGAGGGCACTACCAAGGCAGCGGCGGGCAGCAGGAGAGTGGACAGCTTGGCTGAAGGGTCTGCATTTGGTGTGTGTGACGGGAAGCCGAGACCTCGGGGGTGGAGGGAGGCAGGAAGCAGGGGCCAGAGGCACGTACCGAGTACTGGGCGGGGGGGCCTGCAGGCACGGAGAAGAGGAACTCTTTCCAGAGCGCGTAAGAGACCCCAGGGAGACCCGGCCCTGGTGTGGATCCGTTGGCACAGGCCCCCAGGTGGCAGGGGGTGTCCAGAGGCAGGCAGACGTTGGTGCGGGGGCACAGGGGCCCTTCTGGTGTGCATGCAGGGGCCAGCTCAGTCCTGTTTTCCAGGGACTGACCCTGGGGCTTGCTGCTGTTGTCCAGGGCCCCTACAAGGAAAGGAGGGGTGTCGGGGGCCCCCATGTGCTAACAGACCACAGGGACACCCTGCTAGGAGACGAGGTCCTGCCGGGCAGTGTCCCCAGCCCCCAGCGCCACTCCTCGCCCCCTCCGACCCCAGCCCCCGCCAGCTCCCCTCCAGAGCCGTCCTTGGCACGCCCAGCATGGACTGGCTTCTCCAGGCACCACCCTGTCCACCTTGAAGCTGGAGACCAGCCCAGTGGACAACAGACCAACGAGATGCGACAGAGCAGAGAGGCCGCTCAGGCCCCCGAGTCCCGCTGCCCGGATGGGGCCCCACCTGCTCCGCGGCCCGCCCGGAACACCTGCAGCCGCAGCTGGGCGGGCCGGCCCAGCTCCTGCGTCGCGAACTCGGCAGCGGTGAGGAAGACTTCGCGGCTCGGGCTCAGGCCAGGAAACGCCATCACCTGGCCGGGCAGAGGGCCGCTCAGCTCCGCAGGCCCCAGCCCTCAGCCTGGCCCCACCCTGACACCCGAACACCCGCCAGTCAGAGGGGAGGAGCCCCCCATTGGCCCCTTCTCACACAGTGGGAGACCACGTTGCTCAGGAGAAAAACATCAGGTCAAAACCGTCTCTGAGCAACAGGAATCCCACCTTCATTTGTAAAAAATCCCCCCAAATGGAGAGAGAAGGCTGGGGAGATTCAGGGCTCTCCCGGGTGCCAGCCAGGGTGCTCCTCTCCTCTGCCCTGTGGTGGGTTTTCTAAATTCTCCCCACTGGACACAGGATGTTAACAAGGCCCAGGAAAAGGCTTCATGAGGTTTTTGTGGAGGGATCGTCTTGCTTTTCAAGCTTTTTATCACCTATTTGGCTGCGCCGGTCTCCACTGTGCATGTGGGATCGATCCTTCTTGGGGCATGCAGCATCTAGTTCCCCCGCCAGGGATCAAACCTGGTCCCCCGCACTGGGAGCATGCAGTCCCAGCCACTGGACCCCCAGGGCAGTCCCAGTCTTCTTGCTTTTTAAAGGGACCCAGGGCAGCCAGGGGGCAAGGAGCCTGAAGGGCCCACCTACCTCGACAGGCTCCTGGGGGGCCAGGAGGGCCTCCTGCTGTTCCAGGGGGCTCAAGGGACCCTGCAGGTCCCCACTGGGCGCTCCCATGAGAAAGTTCTCTGCATCCCACACGGGGCCTGGGGTGCAAGCGTGCAATGAGATGCTGGGCCCAGGCGGGAGGAGAGTGTTGGGGGCCCAGGGGTTGAGGGACCTGGGACTGAGCCACCCAGCAGCAGGCCCTGGCTCCCTCCACTGGCTACCCCCGGTGTGGGCCCAGTCCAGGATAGAGGACACTCAGCAAACACGTGACCAACACTGACTTGGGCGCTGGGAGTAGCTGTGCTGGCCAGGTGGGGAGGACTCCGGGGTGACCAGGGGACCCTGTGTGCCTGGGGGGCTTCCTGGCCAGGGCAGCAGGCGCTCCCACCCTGGGCCCCGCGCACCTCCAGGCCGCAGCTCACAGACGTAGCTGTGAGGTGCTGAGCACAGGTCCGTGTTGCACTGCCCAGCGGGCCCCAGGCGCACGCAACGCTCGGCTGTGGCGGGGTGCGGCTCCCCGGGCAGCCAGTTCTGGCAGCTCTCCAGGCTGAAGGCGCCGCCCTGGGGTGCGGGGCCTGCTGCTGCCCCCTCCACGGCTGAGAAGCCAATCCACACGTCCAGGCTCCTGTGACAGACAGTGAAGGGCCAGCGCTCGGGGGCTCCCCGGGGACGGACACCCGCCTCGCAGTAGCCCATCAGGGACTCTGCCTCTACCCCCGCTTCCAGACGGGGACACCGAGGCTCAGAGACCGGCCCTGGCAAGCGGGGCCTAGGCCAGCGCCCGCCCGGCCCCATCCTATGGGGCCGGGGTCCAGCTGAGACTCGCTCAGGGCTCTGCCTCACTCTGGGCCCGGCCACAGGACCCACATGCATCCTGAGAAGAGGCTCCAGGGGAGGCCTATGGGCACCAAGACACCCATACACCGGCCCCCAAATGGGCCAGGCCCACAGCTCTCCAGGCAGGGACCCTCCTGGAGGCAGGGCGTGGGGACAGGCGGCGGGGTCAGAGCTGAGCCCCGGGACCCAGGGCAAGGGCTGTGCCCGCTCTGGGCCTCGGTCTTCCCTCAGGACACGGGACATTCAGGGGGACAGGCAGTCCGTCAGCCCCTTCCCACAGGGACCCAGGGGAGCAGGGGGCCAGTCACCACCCCATCCCACCCCTGGCCACAGCAGGCGCTGAGGGCCACCCCTGGTAAGCACTGCAGAGCAGAGACCCCGCAGGCCTGGATGGCCAGAGTGCCCAAGAGGCTCCTGGGGTGCGGGCGGCACTGACCACGGACCACCCAGCAAAGTCACACTGGACCTACCCCGCCCTCCGCAGGAGGGGCCCGGCTTGGGCAGACAGGGAGAACACAGGGCCGGGTTGGGGGCAACTCCCACAGCGGGCACCCCTGTGGCCACAGCTGCGTCAGGAGAGCCGACAGGAGCGGCTGCCCGTGGACACAACACGGCTGCTGCCCGGAGCCCGCCGGCCAGCCAGACGCAGCCCCTGCAGACGCCCCGCACCCAGCAGGCACCTGGTGACGCGGGAGACCAGGAAGCGCTGCACAGCGGGGCTGTCCACCATGGCCAGGGCGGCCCCGGCCCAGGCCCGGCACTGCTCCTGTGCTTGAGCCCAGGATGCCTTCTCTGCCTGCAGGCGGTAACAGTGCCCATTGCCGGGGAAGATTTCCGTGTCCGGGGGGCAAAGCGGGTGCACCACTGGGGGCAGAGGGCAGAGACGGATGTCAGCGTGTGCCCGGTCCAGGCAGCCCACCCACCCGACGCAGCCAGGGTGGGCCCCACCTTGGGCTGGCTCCTCGCCCAGGGCCACGATGCTGTAGGTGGCCTCTAGGCCCGAGCCGCCACGGTTCCGGACGCCAAGCTGCAGGGTCTCGTTGCTGTGCACCGAGGCCACACAGACGAGCTCCAGGGCGGCGGGGGCGGCCTCCACCCGCACCTCCGCCCCCAGCCGGGCAGAGCCCGCCCCCAGGGCCAGCATGGCCGTCACAGGGTAGCGTCCAGGCAGCACAAAGCGGTGACTGGCGTCTGGGCCCGCGACGTCCACCTCCGGGGAGCCGTCGCCGAAGTCCCAGTGCGTGGAGCTGACCGGCAGCGAGGCGGTGATGTGGAAGGCTGCGGGCTGGCCAGAGGCCAGGGGTCCTTGGGGCCCCAGCAGGGCGGCCCCCGGGGAGGCAGGGAAGATGTGCTGGAGGAGGCTAGGCCCCCGGCAGGCAGGAGCGGGGGTCAGGGAGGAGCCAGAGCAGGAGGGCAGGCAGGCAGAGGAGGCGTTGGGGGGCCGGGCCGCCCCGCACAGGCACCGGCCCTGCTCCGAGAGGGCCGCGAGGGTCTGGCCGGCCGCGAAACAGAGGGCGCCACAGGCCTCAGCGGCCACCGGGCCCTCGGGGGCAGCCGAGAAGGCCACCAGCGCCACGGCGCCCGAGCTGTCATCAGGGACACAAGCGACATACTCCTCACCTGCAAGGGCGGGCAGGCTGGTCCCGAGGGTGCACCCCCACCCCACCCCATCCCAGATTGCATCACCTCTGACCCCCCAGGCCAGAGGGCCCTCCCGACCCCTCCCGAGTCAGTAACTGCACCCCTCAACCCGAGAGGCCTACAGGGGTCCCGTCTGGCCACTCAGTCATGCCGCCCAGTACACTCACCGCAGGCTCCATCCAGCAGCACTCCACTGAGCAGCGGCTGGCCAGCCAGGGGGCCAGGCCCGGCGCACGTGGCCGCCTCGGGCCGCACCACGCGGACCCGCTGCCCCTCCGCCCAGCGTGGCAACCAGGCCAGACCGCAGTCACACTCGAGCGGGTTCCCGCCGAGGTTTCTGCAGGGGACGGGGCAGGCTCAGCGGGCAGTGTGGGGCCCCTGGGTCCAGCCACCCACAGCTGCCAAAACCAGTGACACTTACATTTCACTTAAATTAAATAAATTAGCAAATATTCCTTCTTCTAACGTAGAAATCTTGTTGTTGCTTATGTCCCTGTAAGAAAGGAGGGGTTCAACATGGTTTGATGTGAGCCGCCTGCAGCGTGGAAGCCTGTAGCCGCCCCTGGGGGACACTCACAGCTCCGTCAGCGCTGAGAGGTTCGCCAGGAGCCCAATGTCCAGCGCCCGGAGCAGGTTGTGGGAGACGTCCCTGCAGAGCGCAGCAGACAGAGGTCAGCGTGGGGCGGCCCCAAGGCCCTCTGCCCGCGGCCACCACCGAGAGCTCTGTTTGCCCAGGTCGGCGCTGCTGCCCACCTGGGAAACCCGAGGCAGGAGGAGCTGGCCCCTAGCACTGCATCCATGCCCTCCCCAACCCCTCCTGCCCAGCAGGGTTGGATGCATCATGGGGGGCGGGCTTCACCCCTCCACACAGGGTTCAGATAACACGAGGCAGCCCAGGGGTCTCCAGGGCCGGGCACCCACATGCTGCAGCTGGGGGGCGGGGGGCGTCCTGGGATGCAGTGGGGCAGGGACCCTGGTGGAGGACCCCGGAGCACAGCAAGTGACAGCTGTGTTAGCCCTCTGGGGTCCGGGCACTGCACAGAGCTTGACTCCCACAAACCCAGGCACTCAAGGTCCACAGAACCGAGTCAGAGGACCAACCCCAGCACAACCACAGGCGAAGAACCAGAGGCTCTCAAAGCAGAAACTATGAGCAGAAGGAAAATCTCAAAAGCCAGAAGATACAGCTGTGTAAAAAGACACGCAACCTCCACACAGTATCTCAGAAAACCAACTGCCAGCAGGGAAAAGCACTAGCAATGAAGACGACATGGTGTTGGTCAGTCTCTCGGTCACGTCGGACTCTGCGACCCCACGGACTGCCACACGCCAGGCCTCCCTGTCCATCACCATCTCCTGGAGCTTTCTCAAACCCATGTCCACTGAGTCGGTGACGCCATAAGGCTCATAATACTCTTTTCACATATGCTGTTAACAAACCATCAAGAAAGCAAGCTACTCCAGGAAAGAAAAAGAAAAGGCCAGAGATGAGAATAGGACAAGAAATACAAATGTCACAGATGCACAGGAAAATGCCCAGTCTCGTAACAACTGGAGAAACACCAGGAGAACGGCACAACAGCCCTCTGACCTCCATCACCCGCAGCTCGGGCGACATGGTGACACCTGCGACGACGCGACCCCAACCCCCCGCGAGTCCTTCTGGGGACACGCTCCAGCCACCAGTGCCACCTCCCCGCCTGGCCTGGAGGTGGAGGCCGGTCACCCCACGGGTCCAACTCCTGGGATGGGGACACCAGTCTCCACACGGGCACGGCCTGGGCCTCCCGCCCTCTGAGCCTCTGGCCATCCGGGTGTCACACTGGCTCTGATGCCCCAGAATGCCGCTCGCCAGCCCTGCCCTCCCAGTGTGCCCCCCGGCCACAGCCCAGTCCAGACCCCCACCCTAGGTGCCCCCCAGCCCTGCTGTCCCAGCTCCCGCGGCAGCTGGGGGTGTCCCAAGCCCAGCTCCATCACCCCACCCAGCCCACGCACAGCGGAGCTTAGTAAGAACTGGCTAGCATGAAGACAAGGCCCTCTTGGGAGTCGAGGCCCTGAGTGCAGCCCGCACCCAAAGGACAAGCCTCAGGCGGTGCTGGGGTACCTAGGGCCACCCCTCACCCCCTGCTCACAACGTCCAGGAATGAGGGTCAGGAAGCACCCCCCACCCTGGTCCCTGAGCGCTGCTCCTTCTGGAGACTGACTATCTATGCAGGGCCTTGCGGCCACCTTTACCCAGAGACTGGCTGTGCACCAAGGGCTGGGGGTCGGGTCTCAGTGGGCTGCCCACGTGATCCTGCCTCCCAACACAGCCGGGGGCACTTCTGACCTTCATGTCACCAGCTGGCCTGCAAGTGACCGACAAAGGGAGCTCCCATCCCCCTCAGGCCCCACCAAGGGGGTGAGGGAAGGCAGACTGGATGCACTCCGCTAACCCCTGGGAGCCAGGTCTCGCCCTCGGCATCGTGGGCAGCCATCAGGAGATTGGGCGCTGAGCGGACGGCATGTGGACATGATATGCTCCGCCGATGCTGGCTGCAGCCTGCCTGGAGATGCGACGGGAGCTGGCAGCCGGGGCAGCTCAAGGGCCCCCAAGCCGCGGCGGCGGGAGAGAGAGGGGTGAGATGCTGCCACGCACGTGTGGCCAGGCTGCAGCCGCCCGGGCCTGAAGGAGCCCCCGGGCTGCTCATCACCATGTTAAGCTGTTGAAGTTAGCGCCAAGCCTCCAGCCTGCTGCTGAGGAGCAAGCTGGATGCCACTGCATGGTCACCGAACCCTGGATTCTTAATGGCTGGTGAAGATTTCAGAGGCAGATTCTGAGTTTATCCTGTTGATCTGTCCCACAAAGCTACCAGGAGTCATCCTGCCACCCAGAGGATCGCCAGAGCACGCCGGGCTCTCGCCGGACGGCCTGGGGAAGGCTCCCCAGCACCGCTGACACTGCTGATGGAATAGTGTCCATTATAAAGAGCTGGGGACAGTCACATCTACTTTAAAAAACAGGGAGACATGGTGCCTCCCACACCAGGCTGCTGGGGCTCCCAGGGTGGAAGAGACAGGCCAGGGGACACAGCCAGACTCCACCTGACGTCAAGCTCAGTGCCCCGGGGTAGGGGGGCGGGGCAGGCCATGAGAAACTTCAGCGAGACCCACGCGGGGGCTGAAGGGGGCACAGCTGTGGAGCCCGAGCCTCCGGGATGGGGCTGCAGGAGTCTCAGCCTCGGGCTGTCAGAGGACCCAGGGCCTCGGGGACAGTGGGGCTTGAGGGGGCTTGCAGGCCTGAGGCCCCCACCCAGGGGCACCAGGGACGGCACCCCCACCAGGGCCTCGAGCGGAAGAGAAAGGAGGACAAGCCCTGCGGTGTTTTTCCACATCCCGTTTTCTGGAAAATCCATCATTAGTGGCAGCTCCTGGGAGCCATCTGTGGTTGGCTCCTGATCACCATGGTGCCAGAAAAGTCAGGGCGGGAGGGGGCAGGGAGACCCTGGCAGCCCTGCCACTCGGCCAGCACCACCCCCAGGACGCCGCCCTGGCCCCACTGCCCGGCTCAGTCCTCCACCCAGCCCTGCCCAGCTTCCCCCAGGAGGCTCCCCCACCCCCGCCCGAGGGGCATGGCCACACGCTCCCCGCCCCAGGGAGCCCCTCGCCAGACTCCCCTGGGCCTGCCCAGGGCCCAGGTGCAGAAAAAGACCCTGCAGGCTGAAGGCAGGCCCAGGGCAGAGCCGCCTGGGAGCGTGCGGAAGGGTAACGGGGCGAGCTGGGGGGGCCGGGCAGAGGGGACCCTGGAGGCGGAATCTGCTGGAGTCTCACAGCCCTGAACGGCCACCTCTCCACATCTCCGTCTGCTTCTGTCGCCACCGTTCTCGGGGACCGCCAAGGCTGCCGAGGGCCGGCCCCACCCCGCTTCAGCCCCTCGGGTTTCCTCTGAGCCCTGCCCCCACTTGGTTCCCCGTCTTACCAAGTCGGGGTGGGGAACATGGCCAGCCCAGGGAGCCACCCACAGGAGCCCAGCAGGGCGGCTGGCCAAGCGCCACGGTGAGCAGCCATCCCCACAGGGAGGAGAGCACGCACCCGAGAGGGCTGGGCCACACGGGGTCAACCCTCTGGGTCATCTGGACCTCCCGGGCCAGGCCAGCAACTTCCGGGGACCCCAAGGCAGGAGGGGAAGGGGGACCTGCGGCCCACACCCCCACACCAGCACGAGACGCGTCAGCTCCCTGGGCACCAGGGACCAGACTAGGAGGATGGCTCCCGACTGCCCACAGCCCTGGACTGAGACAGGGGTGTCCTCACACACGGCCCCTCCCCATCTGTTCCCTCTCTTTTATTTATGTATGTATTTATTTGGCTGCATCAGACTCTTCATGGCGGCGTGCGGGCTTAGCTGCTCTGTGGCACGTGAGATCTCAGCTCCCCCACCGGGGATCGAACCTGCGTCCCCTGCACTGGGAGGAGGCTTCTTAACGACCATGCTGTTCCCTCTCCTGACCCAAGACAGGCAGGGGTGTTGGGGAGGAAGACCCCCTGCTCGACCCCCAGGCCCAGCCTTCCCCTCCTGCCCCCAGCACCCAGCAGTCACTGGAGAGCCCCGTCTGCCCTGCCCCCACCCTGGGGCAAGCCCAGTTCCCCTGTCTGTCTCCTGAGTCAGACACCCAGCCTCCCGGGGGAGTGTGTCCTTCCCAACCCGATCTCTCCTGCTGTAGCAGGAGCTGGGAGTGGGGGATCCCTGCTTCCACCAGCCGGAGGGGCCCTGGGGAAAGCACTGAGCCCCCCCACACTGGGCCCAGACCCTGCCTCCAGCCCCAGGCCTTGCAGAGGGGAGAGGATGTCTCAGGGCCCAGTGGAGAGATGGGGCGGGCTGTGGGGCAACGCTGAGAGGGAAGAGGTGTCCGAGGCGGAGCCAAGGACAGGGCCCTTCCTGAGCCCGGGTGGTTCCAAGGGCATCGCCTCCTAGAGCTGGGGACTTGGAGGGACCCGCCCTGATGCCCCCGGCAGCCTCAGTTTCCCCCTCAGCCCAGGTGGGGGGTTGGGGGCGGGTGCCCACTCCCCAGTCCAGATGCCCAGAGGGGTCTGGGGGCCAGCCGGAGCCCCCAAGGAAACATCTGCGCATTCCAGACACGTGTGGTCAGCAGTGGAGGCGGGCGCCAGGCCCCAGCCCACACCCCACCCTATAGCGCTGGCCGCCACGCTGGAAACAAGGCTGGGGAGCGGGCCCTGGAGGAGCGGCCTGCACGTTACGTAACCGCATGGCGGGCCAGCAGCCGCCTCCCCCGGCGGGACAGGACACCCCTGCCCCCACCGCCCCATCCTCTCTGCGGCGGCCCCAGGGCTCCGGGGAAACAGGGACCCCCACCACGTCCCCTCGGGAGCCAGGCCCAGGCGGAAGGGGCAGGAGGCCACAGGCCAGCCCCAGGCCCCTGGGACCCCACAGGCCAGTCCAGACCTGGCGCCCCCACTCGACGCGGCGGTAACGGCTCCCTTTGGCAGCAGGACGGGGTGGGTCAGTCTGAGTCTGGTAACCTCGCTCTGTCTTCATGCACTTCTATTTATGGTGAGCGAGGCTGGCTTCCAGGGCCGGAAATGATGTTTAAATTAATGAATTCAAGTTTTGGGGAGAGAGCTGATCTGAAGAAAAACACGCAGAGGGTG